GCTGAATTCCCCCTCTGCAAATGAGGAAAAGCTACAAAAGCATTCTTGCTGAATTCCCCCTCTGCAAATGGGGAAAAGCTACGTATTCCTTAGCCACACACAATGCACAGGGCTGCTGTGTACAGAACATATGTGTTAATACAGGATTTTTAGTCTGCTTTCCTGAAAAGACTAAACCAACAGATTTAGCTTCTCCTTTGTTATACTTGTTCATAATGTCAACTAATTTCGATAGACACACAAAGGTGCTGAAGTGATTAAATTCTTCCACATTTCTGTGAAAAATCAACATCACTGGGGCAGCCACAGCACATGTTATTTCTTGCTGAGCTGGTCGATAGCAGAATCTTGGAATAATTCAGTTTGGAAGGGACCTTTGGAGGTCTTCATTCCAACCTTGTGCCCCGAGTTGGATCAGGTCGGTCAGGCACTTGTCCAGCTGAATTTTGACTCTCCAAGGAAAGAGACTCTCTCCACCACCTCTCTAGGCCACCATCACCTATTTAACTACCCTCATTGTGAAAAAATATGTTTCCTTATAAACAATGGGAATTTCCATAGCTGCGACTTGTGTCCATTGCCTCTCATCTTCTTGCTGTGAACCTCTGAGAAGAGTCTGTCTCTTCTCTATATCCGCCACTCAGATAGCCAAAGACAGCAATTACATCTCCCTTCTCCTTCCCAGGCTGAGCAAACCCAGCTTCTGCACATAAAAAGTAGCTACTAGTATGTCCAATGTCCTGCATAAATTTCTGAATCTCGGCTTTATGAAGACTGGAAGGCTACCAAAAACATAGCTCACGTAAGGGAACACTGAATGCCACGTGAGAACAAAATTAGAGACCAAGCTGAAATCTTTTTCGGAAATTTACATTTTTTACTGCATGCTGTCACCCTGTCATCATATCATATAAGCAGTTAATGGAAGAGGATAAAGACCTGTTAAAGAACAATTATCCAATGCAATGCAGAAAGGCTATTGAGAGGAGCCTTATTTCTTAATGTAGAACAAACGTGATACCAGTAGCAGGCAAAGACTTACGAGTCAAGCTAAACAAAAACCCTGAATGTTTACCAGAATAATTACTCAGACGAAATCTTCCCCAGCAAAAGTGTACTCGGCACTGCTTCACTACTTCTTCCTTCATTAGGCAGTGAAACACAAAGATAAAGAACCCTAAAGAAGTAAGAAGAGAAATTCACAGGTTTTCAGGTGGATTCTCCAACCTGCTGTCCCTTTTCTAAACTTTTTGTATACCACTCAGTTACCAGTATGTTATGTACGGGCAGAGAGGTGGTCCCTTGGCCAGCATCATGTTGGCCCAGAACTGCACTGAGTCCTTTCTGCATATGAAAGGGTAACGGGAAGAGCTTTCTGCAGATTTGGTATAAGAATAATCTGCAAGTCACTGTAGATTCTATCAACCATTTTTATGCTCAGATGAAAAGTATTATGCCAGCTCCTGAAAAGATGCATTTTTTTGAGACCCATGTTTCAAAGGCATGAATTTGTGTCTTTAATAGTATATCTATCACAGCAACATTTATCATGCCAGTGCAATGGAGCTTTCATATTAAAATAGCTAAACACTGTCACACAAAAGCTATATGAGCACTCCTCTTCCCCCATGCTTGAATTACATGATATTACAAATTTATTTCTATTCCACGGCCCTAAACTGTTGTATTGATAGCAGTACTCCATTCAGAAATTACCTTGCAAGGTGTTAAAAATGCTGAAGAGACACAGGAAAAATATCCTCACTGCTCCCCAGGCAAAAAAGGCAAAGCCCCAAGTTAAGCCCAAAAGGAACATCAAGCTGAAAGCACTTTTGAGGTCTTGGAGAAAACCCCGTTTCCAGAATCTGGATCTCTTTTGTGTTCTTGATTTCATGGAGTGGATTTGAAGGAGAACAGTGATGAACATGGCTGTATTCGTCATAAATATTAAGAAGACATAGGCCACAACGGAGATGTAAAACACTATGTTCTGCTGAATCCAGCAACTGCAAGAAAGGGAGGTATGTATTCAATACGGAGTTTTGTGAGCAGTGAAACTAGTGAAGCCTGGTTTCCAAAATAACTGTCCCATATGGTTCTCTGATACCTAGTAAGGGGCATTCCCTAACGCCCATTACTTTCTGGCAATGAGGATGTTCATTGAATATCTCCACTTGCCTTTTTATGGAAGTTATAGAAATTCAATAACTTTGAGACTTTAATATTTCTGCCAAATTCAGATAAGCCTGACAATTGTTTCACAACTTAATAATGTATACACACAAAGACACACTGCCTTAGGAAAACCGAGTTAAATACAACTTAATTAGGAGTCTAAATAATCATATAGCACAGAGATAAGCACTGGTTGCTTTTCCTCAGACATAAATTAGTGAGTTTTACTGTCGTTTTGCTAAAGATGGGTAACAATTTTCCCTCTGTGGTGTCATGCGTGTGTGTTGCCCCTCTGACAGGATAGAATTGAAATATTCCAGGTAATCTTCACCAACAAGTGATCAGATTGTGCTAAGCAGAAAGCAGGTGAAAAAATGGAAGCATTCTTTGCTGTAAAACCCTTTCAAAAAAGGTTGAAAGAATGCAATGTTTTCCCACTGGAAAAGAGAGGAGGTTGAGATGATTTAAATAAAAATTTGAAATGATGAAGAGATAGTAATGTGAATTGACATTAAAAATCAGAAGCAAACATACAAAATACTACAGCAATTATTCTGCCTTTAGGTTTTACCAGAAGTCTAGAACATGCAGGAGCATATACAAATGTCCCATCAGACTGAGTTAATGTCATGTAAAGAAAGAGATTTTTCCGGAAAGTAAAAATGGAGTTGACTGGCAGAAGCCCTCCCTGTCCTCAAGCCCAGTCAACTGATATGAGAGTCACTCCATGTAGTAGCCATACATCCAAAATGATCCAATGAACCAGAACCAGTAAAAGGAGAGGGTTGAGATGGGGGAGAAAAGACAAAAGCAAGACAGAAGTTGCTGCCTTCTAGTTATTTCTAGTATCTTTAAGATACTCTGGTGACCATCAAAAAGCTTGAAGTATTATACTTACAAATTGCTGAATGGATTGCTCTCAGAACGTGATCCATTGCCATAGAAGTCTTTATCTATAATGAGCACAATAGTAATTACAATAGCTGGTATTCCTAATATGGAAGGCAAGAGAAAAAGAAATATTTAGATTAAAAAGAAAAAATAGAGAACATGCAAAAATGTCAGATAATCTCTGATGAGTAATTACAGCAGACATGTACATCTTAGGATCAAACTCTGCCCCTAAAGCTCCTTCTGAGATGAGTGTAATTAAATGTGTGGCATAGCAGGTTTAATCTCCTTATTTATGTAAATTACAAATGAGTAGTCATAAAAATATCTGTGTTTGCAAAATGTTTGTGAGTGTTCAAACATCTCCAGAAGGGATCCAATCTGGTAAAATAAAACCAACTGATTATTACAAAAAGCAGAGTGTCAAAAGATAAGCAGACCACAGCATTTTGTGTTAAGATCTGATAGAGACAGACATTTTCCAGACAGTGTTTTATCAGTCTTCCCTTCCACTCATTTCCCGTTTCCCATATTTCTTTCAGTTCTGGCTTTTCTGTTGAGAACGGCTGCCGCCAACATCTGCCATGCCATCATGGATGGCTGCCCCTGAGAACAATTATGTGCGACATCAGATCTAAGGACAGAGATGATGATACGCTGCACACTATTCAAAAGCCTAAAACCCCCTTTAAACCAGTATCTAATGGTGACCCAAAAAACACAGACCAAATTCTGCTCTGGGTCAGTGCCTCTGATTACACCTTTTCTAACAGCTGAGCCAGCATTTTGGGTCCTTTTTGTTATGTTTCTCCCAACCAAGTCTCTGATGCTCAGTGCTCGGGGGAAAGGTGAATCAGTGAAGTTCTCAGGAGGGCTATGAATGAAAGTCAAATCCACTCCCCACCAGGGAATCATGCACAGGATGGCAGGTAAGGACACAAGGCCTGCAGAAGGACATCAATATCACTTCTGAGCATCACCAGTGCAGGGGTGAAGGCTGTGGGCAGCTCGTACTTCCTCAGGCACAGCCACTGACATGAGGTACCATGATAAGTCATTCCTGTAAAGCGCAGTTAAAGCAGTTCCTTATGCCCACTTTCGCCTTTCCTTGCATATGACTCTGTGCAGGGAGCAGCAGGCACTTTCTGCTAATGTCTCTCTGGGCAGAAGAAACTTAAGCTGAACCTGCCTGGGGGAAGAAATCCATCCTTACGGCTCAGGGTGTGCACCACATTTCTACTAGCTCAGTGTCCTAACTTATTTGCAAATATGCCCCTATCTTAGAGAAGTTAACAAGCACAGAAGTGGAGAAGAAATCTGCTTACTTACCCCAGCCAGCAATACAGCATTTTAGGATGTACTTTGGGACATAAACATTGAAAACTTTGACAAGAGCCAAGTAAAAGTGAACAGACTCCAGGCACATCCACATGAAAGCTGCAAGAAGGAAATAGTGAAGGAGCACGGCCACGGTGATACAGAGACCTGGCTGGTTGAACGAGGACAGCCAGGAATTGGTGAGGAAGACCATGTTCAGCATCAGCAGTGCAACACAAAGATTGAGCAGGATTTTTGAAGGGTTGTCTCTCCTCAGCTTTCTAAAAAGAAGGGCAAAATTATCACAAGGTTATCGCTCCATGAGTTGTGCTGAGTGCATCCACTAATGCCAAGTAGCACAAATGTGTATTCATCATGTTGTAAATTGGCTTCGTGTGGTGTAAGTTGTGTCTACATTAGTGTTTTATATCACATCACTAACGTGGTTTTGAAGCAGATCTCCCAGCCTGAAAAAGCAGAGCTTCTATATACATGGAGACCTGCTAGGTTTTTCACACTTGCTGGAAGAGAGACAGACTTAACATCATCTTTTTACTACTGCATGAGATATTATTGTTACTGCAATATGAAAACCCCCACAGTCACCTGTCTAGGGCCCCATCGTGCCAGGAGCTACTGGCACTCACAGTATAAAATGAAACTGATCCAAAAGGACAAAACACAAGACCAAGAGCAAGAGAAGAGAAAAGTTTCCCTATTTCACTGTTGATATCATCCAATGTACAGTCTATACACAGGGAATATTCCAGATTCTTGACATAATATCTTACCCGTGACCATGGGTAAATTTATGAAATGACAGAAATTTAGGAACCTAGAAGTTGCTGAACAGTTCGGAGTAGTGCTTGTATTGAAGCATGAGTATTTGATTCCCTCTTATTTCACCACAGTCACAGGTCAAAATAAAGCAATATTTATACTGTCAGCTCTCAGTCTTCCCTCCTATACATCACAGCATCAAATATTACCAAACATTCTGATAGTTGCTGCAAATTCATTATTGCTAAAATATTAAAAGCGATATAAGAAAAAGGATCAGACTTACTCAAGGGCTAGATATGTCACCAGTGTTATACCCAAAAAAAGGGAAGAAGCACCACATCCTGCATAGCTTATCAGAGTTAGTATACGATCATGTGTGATATCTATCTCTGTCCGGGACAAGTCCTATGTTACAAGATAAAGAATCACAGTTGTTTGCCATAACAGAGAAAGAAAATTGCTTTCCACATTTGCACATTGATAAAGAAATCGATTTCTGTTCTGCTAACTGCTTCTTTTGGAGGGTTTCCATTAATATTTCTATGTGTTTCTTATTGTATAGTCCTACAGAATATCCAAACTAGATTTAAAGTATCTGGTAATAAGTTGTGAAGCTAGAAAAGCTGTACTTCAGAAACCACAAATTCAACAAGGATTCCAGGATCTTGCCAAAATTATTCCACTGGGAGCTCGCTTTGTAGGAGAAACTTAACTTTGTTTCAATGGCAGCTGCCATGCTTGAGAACTGCACAAACCTGCTAAAAGTCTTGGAGCATGGGAGGATGCTCCACATCCAGAAAGCATCCCTCTGCAAAAATCAGCTGGGAGCCTGGGCCCTGCTTCTCCACAGCTGCTGCCAGGAGTAATATTGAGAGGATTTTGTTGGTCCCTGCCACAGTTGCTCTTCTGTTTGGTGAAACTTTGAACCCCAGACTAGTAACCTACATCTCTGATGTACAGTTGACAGTGCTGTTAAATACTTGTAGCTGTGCTGCTTACTAAAGTGGCAGCGCAGAAGAGGTGAATGGAAACTTTAGCAAGTTGTCTGAAATCTCTAACATCTACATTCCTTCCTGTAGAAGTCACATTTTTACTACCAGGGAGGGCTTTCGTGCCTCTCTTGGAGCAGGGGGATGCTGGCCTTTAGGGAAAGCTGGGCGAGCATCCGAAGGCCAAGGGATGGCCTTATCCCGTCGCATAGATTGTATCCTACTGGGATTAGACAACATTAATCTACTCTGTTTGCTTTGAACTTGCCTATCACTTTGCATTTGTTGCAGCCCATTCTCAGGCAGTCATCTCATTTTTTGACATTGAACTTTTAGAGGCAGTTTTCTCTGTATTACAGAGAAATAAGAGACGATAGTTAATGATATCTCTGGTATTTATGTTAAACTTCCCTTTCTGATGGAGCATAGATAAAACTTTCAGAGAGATGTAAAGTCATTAGTTGCCACTGGCAGGTAATAAATTCAACACAGTATTTCCAACGCAGCAAATAACACATTAACATTGATTAAGTTGCATTGCAAAGAAGTACAAACTACATCTGTAAAATGAATTTGCCTTGAAGCAAGTGACATTTAAAGGATTTTATACCATTAAAATTATTATAACTGTTTTGTTTGTTATTACTGATTTTGGCAAAATTGCAGATATCTGACAGCTTGTATAGATATGAATCTCCCATCTCTCCCCAAAGCTAGCGATGACTTTGTTTAGTGCCATGGGACTTTTTTGGAGATGATTCACAGAGTACTTACCAGTAGGACTCCAAAATGGGTAAGATGGTTACAAAAACAGATTGTGTAATTCATATCTGTATATTCAATTTCACACCCCGATGTATTCCAACCACCCAGTCCATCTGTGTAATAGAGAAAAAGGGATTTTTAAGCAGAGTTAGTCATGCTCAGTCATTTATAGCTCTGCAGCACGCAGAATGTGTGAATATGAGCTCAAGTTAGTACAGATTGCAGGGTCATTTAGCAGCACACAAGTGAGATTTCACACAGGAACACATCTTATATAGTTGCCTGAGAACCTCAAAATTTGGATGAAAGCCTATGGTGGAATGAAGAAATATTTAAAGTCATTTATATGCCTGCACACAGAGAAAGCAAGAAGGTAAGGAAAACTGCACTGGACTAGATTATGCTGCAGGATTTGGAAACACAGAAGGCAGGAAATATTTACAGGGCAGAGGATTTGTTTAGGCAGAGCGTAGCATTGAAAAAGCCAGATCTTCCCTGATAAGATTAAATTTATGACCCTATTTATGTGGCATGTATGACATATTCAGAAGCTAAGCTTCTGATTAAAAAAACCCATATATTCTAACACTAATAATTGCAGAGAAAAACCTTACCCACGTGTTCTGAGTTAACCCAATATACAATTACCTTTCTGTGTCTGTTGACTTTCTGAGCCATATTCAAGACTTGACCACAGCAAAGCCCCCACTGACTTCCCTGAAGTAACTGTGAGAAGTCATCTGACATTTCATTGCGTTTCTGCTTTTTTCTTGTGTTAAGTCTTCTTATTCATGTAGCTGCACCACAATACATTGCCGTACATCTATCCCCTATTACTGCGGTATCAACATCAACAAAACCCAGCAACACAGCCTTAAAGTTTCAAGCTGCAATGTCAAGGAGCCAAAGGCTCTGTGATGCTGGTGACAGAGCAAGCGTGGCAGCTCTGTAAATAACACTTACTGTTCTTCCAAAAGTCCCAAAAGACGCAGTGCACTGCTGCATTACCCTGAAAGCAGAGAAAAAGGAGGCTGTGACATTTATTCAGTACTGTCTGCACTTGCAGACGGTGCATTTTGCCTGTAATCAGGGTTTATAACTAATGCGGTTTGATTTTATTTCCTCCATACTGCTCGACAAGAAAGCCTGCTCATTGCTGCGATTGTTTGCATGGTGGTGCCGCAGTGGGTTTGTAGGTCACTGGAGATGCCAGCATGTCAGGGGCAGTTGGACACTTGGTCATTGGGAACCAGCTGGGATACTGGCCATCTCATCCATGGCATTGAAAACCAGGACAGGGTCCCAATTTTCGCCTTCGCCTTTACCAAGGGAAATCCTGGGAGTCAGTGATTTTCCCAGTTTTACCAGTCTTTTTGTATCTTGTAGTCTTTTAAGGACAGCAGAAAATCTGAAAAGTTGTCCAGCTTAGACAGATTCCTATGTCTAATCTCATTGGCTTCATGTGGTATCTGAGTTGTCATACCAAATTACCGTTGAAGTTCAAAAGTTATGACTAAGACCTAGAATAACAACCGGAGATTTTATACAGTTAAAAAAACACAGTTCTCAGCAAAAGAAAACCTTTATTTTAGAATTTCAGTGTTTCCTCTCTCTCTGAAACCAGGCAGGGAAGACACCTAAGAACTGAACAGATTTAAATGGGTATTCAATTGAATGTTTTATCTTGGGGACATTCTAGTTTATTACTCATAATGCTGCAGCAAACAGCAAACTTTTCCAAGGCACAGATTTGTTTTCTTTTATTATTATTATATTATTAATCAAGTTTAATAAAGCACAGAGTTTACAGGAAGCCACCCTAACAGATAAGCTGTTAAGGTGTGTGATCTGTACACTGTCAAATATAATTAGGCAGAGAGCCAAAGATATAGGTTAGGATGATATCTCATTAAATATTTAATTAGGATATTTTTAAAAGGTCAAGGAAAAAAATCTGAGAGGTGCCAGACGGCCTGGTGGAGTAAAAATAACGGAAGAGACGGGATATCTAGATGAAATTTCTGGCTATGTACTATTTGCTAGAATTGAATGGAAAGAGCATATTGCCATAAAAGCAGCATGTTCAAGCTCTCATTGACACGAACTTTAATCAAATTCTTCTTATTGAATAATTTTGTTCTGCCCTGGGTTTGAAATAGATTCATGTGAAGGCTGGACCATAAACATTGGCAACACAAAAATGCTAAGGTGGAACTCAGTCAACATGTTTGGCCCATGCCCATTTAAAAGTAATTTAAGATAGATTTTAATTTTGAAACATGATTTTGAAACAAAACAAAGCAAATTAATTTTGGAAACCTCTATGCAATGTTTTGATTTTTTTTGAAATTTAACTCTTTTGGTGACTAAACCAATTTGCTGAATTCAGACCAACTACAAATCATTTCAGTCAAATCCAAAACCTGCCATTTTTTAGCAAATAAACTATTCCTTGAAAAAAAAATTGTCCAGATCAAAACAAAGAAACAATGAAAACGTCCGTTGCTGCTTGGATTTAGAGTGGAGACTCAAGCTTTACTAACCTGCAGGAATTAAACGCTGAGATCTGTGTGGTCTGTCAATGTTTTGGTTGATATATCATGGAGAGGTCAGGCAGCAAAATGTTTTAAGCTTATTTGTCCTGTTGCCAGTTTATTGTAAGGCTTAGTGAAACAGGCTCTACTTCAACACGTCTCTGATGAAATGAACACATCCTACCGTATTTTGGTCTATGTGCTGAAGAGTAATAGTCACAGGCTCAGTAAGGTTCTGAATGGATGCATTTTCAATGCTGGCACTCACAACATAAGTATTCAGCCTCTCCTTCGTTAAACTGTCATCCTGCAGTGGAAAAATACATGCATGCAAAAAAGAATCCAAGTTCTTCCCTGCTTCCATTTCTTTAAATTGTATTTCTTGGAAATGGCGATGCGCTAAACACCGTGGGATGCCTGATGTAATACAGCTACTTGCTACTTCATTAGAAAATGTAGTTTATTGCAAATGCAGGGACAGTCTCCACATCAGCTGAAGCAGAACAGAGTTTCAGATGCATCAGCTGCATTGAGAAAGCTGTATAATTGTTTCAGTACATCAACACACCCAGTTGTACATCATTTAGCTCATTAGACAGTAGACAAAATTGTGAATGCTTCTTCTGTGTGAAAAGCATTGCTCAGCACACTGTATGCTCCATCATACCAAAAGAAATGTCTCCCTTTTAAATTACACTCACCCACCCCGCCAAGTTAAGAAAACATAGCAAGTACTAGAATAGGCCTAAATGCTGCACATCAGTGCTGCTATTATTTTAATGGAGACATAAATCTTGAAATTATTTTCATTATATTTGACGTACTATGCTTGTTCCTTAAGCAAGACCTTACTATCAGAGGAGAATTAGGGTATGTTCTTTACCTACAGAACAGAAGTATTGGAATAACATCAGCTACAGAAAATTAAGAAAAAGTCTAAGGTCTACAGACACCCCTCAGAGCATCATTGCTACAGAAAAGGTTTTGCTGCCTGGGTACATTTTCCCTGCACATTTCTTAGTGCTCCATCAGCCTGATGCTAAACGTGCCCAGAACAGATGACGCTACTGGGATTTTTCTTTTGTATGCACTAAGAACAGCTGAACTGACTACTGCCATGTTAGCGTTTGTTAGGAGTCGTCATTACCGCAAAGAGTGAAGTAGTGCCAAAAAAATTAAACTGGATCTTCGAATGCTTGTCTGGATCGGAGTGCTCGATCCCTAGGAATTTGTTCAGTGATTTTGGCAAAAACACTGAGGCCAAGGCCTTTTTGAAAGGGATTTCTTGAACATTGATCTGCAGGAGAGAAATGACATACTCAGAGCTGCCTTCCTCAGGTCAAATACACAACGGTACAAAATAGCAGGAGGATTGTCTGGTTTAGTCAGTGGTCCCTGAGGTGATACTTTGCTCTCACCTTGAGATCCATGCCTCTGTTGTAGGAGGTAACACCAAAGGCCAGTCCTGCAAACGCACTGGGATCTGGACGCATCACCAACAAAGCCAAGGAAGTGGTTATGACCGATGTATTTCTTTCTGAGTGAGTCAGCTTATAGCCTATGTCCTCAGTTGTCTTCAGGATGCTTTAACAAGAGCAATAGCAAGGAAGGAAGGGGAAAAAAAAAAAAAAAAAAAAAGGACACATCTCTTGAAATGTTCTCCTGGCTTCATAATATGCATCCAGTAGACAATCAGCTAAAATGCTCTGCTCTGATTTATGATCGCAAGGAGCAATCACTAGAGCAGAATGGGTCCATTTTGGGGTAGATGGCATTTTGTCTGGGTTCAGGGTCAGGTGATGCCAAGCAGTCGAGTTAGCATGTTTCAGTAGGCTGAGAGTCTGGCTGGTGGGAGATACCCTCCTGCGGGGGACAACACAAGGTGGTTTTGGGAAGACCCGAGTCAAAATTCAGACCCAGTCAAATACTGTATTTTATCTGGAAGGCAGTACCTTGTAAAACCTGCTAATTTGATTAGTTGCAATCATCTAATTGTACCCTCAGAGCCAGAATAATTTAGTCTGCAAGGGACATCTGAAGGTCTGTCCTCCAACTCATGCAGGGCGTACTTTAAAGGTAGGTCAGTTGCTCAGGGTCTTGGCCAGCAAAGCTCTGAATATCTCTCAGGATGGAGATTTCACAGGCTTTCTGGGCCCTACTCTCAGTGGGGTTTTTTTCTAAGTAGAGAGAAGAGGCTGGAATCTAAGGGATGCAGGAAATTAGGGTTTCATGTTCATGGGTATTAGAGTCAGAGACAGCTCCACGTCTTGTTTGGCCTCCCTTAAGGCTATTCAGCAGTATGCAAGAAGGGGTAACACTGCTGAAAATGTGCAAAACAGCTGGCCATGACAGACTAAAGGAAAACCTTCCTGCCCTTCTTTGGTCTGATGTTATCTTCATGCATCATCAGTCCCAGACACACAAGGAGCCCCATGGGATCCTTTCAACCACAGCTGCCCAAGAGCTGCGAAGTCTGGAGTTTAACTTCCCCAAGATATCCAGGAGCCTAAATCTCTACTGAGGCCTGAAAGAAGCAGCATAATAGCTCTTGCGAGGATATCATGCTAGCACTCGTCAGGTATCATCACAGTGGTCATGCTCTTTTTTTTTAAAAAAAGTAAGATCTGATTTATGGAAAAGTTAAAATACCTAAGATTCTCTTGTTCACAAAAATTGTAAAGACATTGTTATTACAACTTGTACATACCAACTCTATCTCCATTAAGGATCAGGGATTACATTTCATGGGATGAGAATTTGAAATAATGGATATTTACTTAAAAAACCCCCCATAGCCTATTTGAGAAGGCAGAGGTGTTGAGTGCTGGCAGCTATCACAGCCCCCACTCCACACACTGCAGTGCGGTAGACTCTGAAGAGAGAGCATACAGCCAAAAGGATCACGATGCGACTCAGTGCTTTCTCTCTGACAGATTTTCTAAGCTATTTTTGGCTACTCCTCCTTGCGGACTCCTGAGTTTGAAAAGGCAATGCAGAGTTGTCAAGTGCAAACAACTGATCTGTTGCATAGTCTATGCCCCACCTAGAACTTAAGGGGAAAGTTCTTTTTTCTTGCTTTTAATATTTCTTATTTTAATATTTCTTACTAAAATATTGTTTTACATCAAGTGAAACGGAACATTGCAGATGATAGACACAGTTTTTAAAATGAGAGATGCTGAAAGACTTTGTAATGTGGTGAGCAACAGTGTAAGTACGGTTGGTTAGAGTTGGTCAGTGCAAAGCTGAATAATCTTTCCTCTTTGGAGCCTCAGGCTGTGCAATGAGAAGTGGGTAAGCTGTCTTGCCCAAATCAGAAATGGGTAAACTCTGTGTACTTGCATTTGCCTTTGTAAAGGCTGACAGTAGTTTTCTGAACAGTGCTCGGCTCAGCAACAGAAGCCAGACATTTCAAAAACGGGTAGCTGAGTGACCTTTAAGATCTCAAAGGAGAAAGATGTTTTTAAAGTTATCTAGCAACCTCAATTTTAGCATGTGTGAGAATCACGTAATTGATGTAGGATCCTAAATGTAGATTTTGAAGTCTAACATCGAATAGCTATGTTTGAAAAATCTTTATCAGCACAGGTACAGCACTCCAGCCTGGTGTGCTGGTGGAAGAGATATATGTCTCCAGGCTGACCTGCCAACAGACCTCACTGCTGAGCTGGAAAGATCACCTCTGAGATGAGATGGCAGCCAGGCAGTCTCCCTGCTCTGCCTCCAGGCTGAAATGTCCATGGAGAACATCTCTGTGATGGCAACTGGTTCTGGTAAAAGCACCTTTGACAACACAATAACCAATTTTTGCTGCTAAGAACCACAAACATGTTTAAGATCCAAGTACAGAAATTGCTAACTCTTGTGATATTTTAATAGACTGAATGAATTACTCCATGGTGCCATTTTAGCTTAGGAAGCCACTTCTGGACAAGTTATCTTACTTACCTATTGGTCATTTTTCTAATGTTCTGATCTTCTATTTCTTGCAGCAAAATATAGTTTAGTATAGACAATATAGTCTCTGCAAGTGTCATGGTCATATCTGCAACCCTTACGATATCAGAAATTTTACTTGCAATAATTTCTAATTCTTCCATATGCAGTGTTGCATCTGGCAAGAGGTATAAAATATGCTGTACAACATCTTGTGCATTCTCTGAAAAAAAGAAGGTACAGATTATTTATGTGGCATAGCTATATGTCTAACTATATAGCTACATGTGTCTGTGCTAAAGCAAGGAGTTAGTCTGCTTCTCCTCTCATTCCATATGATCATAATGCTTCTGATCGATTACAAAATTATATCCTAAGATTAAGTCAATAAGCCCTCAAGATGTCAATGAAACTGGCAAAAACTTCAAAGTAAAATCTGGATATCTCGTATTTTAAAGGAAGAAAACAACGTACTTTTCATAATATTATCACCTGCTTTTGGTTTATAAAGATTATCTGTAAATAATATTTATTTTTAACTTTGGTCATGTTTACAAGCATTTGTCAGTCCAAAATCACACCAGATCTGCCCCTCTCCCCAAATGTTGTCTAACTGGTATAGCAGCAAAAGCAAATTCTGAATGGTATAGTTTGAAAAGTTGTATTTGCCATTCATCGTCTCATCATCCTTCTATAATTTTTTTATAGCAGCAGAGTTTTACACCCTGGGAGTCAGACAGACTGTATGCAACTGCAGATATCTTTCAATGATCTATTATTTGATGCCACTGCTGAGTAGGTGGATAAGCTATGGTATTGTTTTTGTTCACCATTCAAACAAGTTGCACTGTTTGGCATAGCTTAAAAAAGATATAATTGGGTGATAAAGGTCACCTTATAACTTAGATGAATTACAGCACAAACTTTTCAAATCCATACTCTGATTTGTGCTTCTTTGTATGAGATAATAGGAACTACTTTGATGTGGTAACAGAGAGAGTATAGACAGGCAAAACCTGTCACATTATTCATTGGTTATTTACTTAGTTTTAAATCTAAGTGTAGGATCTGAGACAAGCCTTCAAAGTGCTAGCTAGAGAATTTTGAAGCACCTGCAAAATTCATCTATATTAAAAAAACTTTAAGATGACCAGGTGAGTAGGATGCACGTAGAACAACTTTATCGCTTCAGTTCTTCAGATGTCCAACATGAGCGTTATCTGAGTATAACTATTTTTACTTTGGTTCACTGTGTCACTGAAGTATCTGGTGCCTTACCTTCTGTTATTGTGATATCATGAAGGTCTAAAATATTATTTGGAAGTTCTTCGAGTAATTTACATTCAGTCATATCTGGTTTCTTCCAGAAAGCTTGCTCAAGTTCAATGTTAATTGCACTGAAAAATGCAAACAGTGTACACTGTTACAAGAAAAAATATGTAATAATTGCTATTCCTCATATTTCCCATTTAAGTAGCTAAGAATGTAATTAATCGGCCCAATTTTGAAAACTGACTTGCAAGTCAGATCTGACTTAGCACTTATTTAGCAGAGTGGGAGCAAAGCCCAAATGCCAGAGCAATTTGAAATGCATCTGGAGGTATTGGAGGGCAGAGAGCCACAAATGGATGGCACAAAATGCTACAGTGCATCTGTTTCCCCTCCCTGCTGAAGCAGAAAGTCAGCTTGCTACTGTGCTGGCTTGCACTTGCTGCAGGTGATGGAAATGATGCAATACTCCCTTTTCTTGCAGCCCATGCTGGACTGGCCCTGTATACTTTGCATCTTCCTTGGCATGGCACTGCTGTGTGCCGTGACAGACTACCATCTGGTTTGCCATCACACAAAGCCTGGCACTCCCTCCTGTTTCCCATGCAAGAACCAAAATGAGATGATATTGTCACTCACCAACTCCTTCGAGCAGACTGCAGAGGGTTTTTCCTGCAGCTGACCTCTGCTTTGGCAGTTGGGCTTGTTAGTGGCCAGGAATAATTCCCCTTGTAGGTTGTGTATGAAAAGCTTTCTGGACAATCCATTAGTGCTGAGGAAGAAATATATAAAAGCTCTTTAAAAATATTTAATAGTGAAAAAGAAGACCCCCGCTGACACCCAGGGACCCAGCTGTTCTCTGGGCCTCCTTTCCTGGTGGGAATAGGCTGTAATTTGCAGACCGGATAGGAGTATTTTACAAGTTTACTGGCTGCAAGAAAACATTTTGATTAAATATTTCATCCATTTTACAATCTTTTTCTCTTTTGTTTGATAAGGTTCGTTCTTAGGTAAAGTGTTAGTTTCCCAGCATCACAAACCATATTTAATGACAGTACATCCTGCAGGCTTCTGAGGGTGCTTTCACGCTGCCCCTCATTATCCCAGCAATGTCTTTCCTCCAGGCTTGTAGTTTTATTGTCTGCAGCTGATCTTTTGAAAGCCTTTGGTATAAAATATGGTTTTGAATTTCAGGTACAGTCTGTTAGCTCTTCTCTCTGGCTTATTTCTGTATTATAAGGAGCGATAGAGATTCTAACCAACGAACGAATAGATTATTTGCCATTTGAGGCTTGATCCAATATGCACTGGCAGTAAGCAAATGCCAGCAATGGTTTGGTTTCAGTGTTTGGCTCTGGTCTCCCTCAATAGCCAGGCTCTGGGGCACGGGCTATGAGCAGGGGCTCCTGGATTTGCAGCTGCATCAGCCTGACCTTGCCTTCATTGCAAAGGTGCTCAGACCTGCCTTGGCACCAGGATTCAAGTTTTAGCTTACCTCCGTTTGTCTGGAACCCAAGTTTTTGATTTTGCTGTCATTGCATGATGTTCTACAGCTTGCACATTAGATGAGGTCAGTCTGGCTACTTGTAAGGATGTTTTCTAACCTAACCTCTCCACAAAATTTAAATTTGATAAAACACTTGTAGCCAGAATACAAAGCACGTGATTTCCAATGAGGTTTTAATGAAGTATTACCTATTGGCTTCACAGCCACATCTTCAGGTTTCACGTACAAGGATAATGGTCCCTCTTCGTAAGTGTCGTTCAACAACTGTTTGATCTTGAGACTCAGCACTTCTTGTATTTCAAGTGATATGGCCTTTATAATGGCCTTACAGATGTAGCTACAAATATAATACACAAACAAGGCTACCATATTAGTAACATTACACAATTATAAGTGGTTACAAAATTAAGGAGTAACCCAGAAAATTATGGATATGTATTTATTTTGTTCACCATAACTGCAGTCCTATGGCAAATGTCACCAAATGTCACTTCTTAAGTACACTAGTACCTTATCCTTGGAAATGCTTTATAAAGTACAAATTATTGGGAATACAGGTACAAGAATCTTTTTATAGTTTCATGGTAAATACCTCAAAAGGTTTGCTAATCATGTTATCTTGGCAAAGGAACATCTCTGCCACAAGTAAGCATTTTTCAACCATGTTTTAAAGTTTGGAGTGAGCTAGTGATAAAATGATGAGGTGCTTGAGTAACCCTGTGTTCAAACAGGGGTGGCAGGCTCCAAGGCTCCCTGGAACACTGAGATTTAACTAACGCCTATCAGTATCTCCACCGGATTCCAGCTTTTTCTCCTCAAAACAGCTATTCTTCTGGATAACTATGTTTGCTCACTTTAGGAGGTTTGGAAAGACTGTATCTCTCTATGAGTGGCTTCAGACATGGCAGAAAGATGCATGAAGCCAGCTTGCAGTTGTGGGTGGATCACCTCAATGGACCTCTAATTTAGCTGAGGGCTAACAAGTGAGATTTCCTTAGGACTGGGATGTTTCAAGTGTTTCCAACTCACTCCTGTCTCTACCCAGTTGTTCCTCACTCTGCATGGCCTTAGTAAACCATTTGCAACCCCTTGAAGGTGATGGGAACCCAACTCCCCTTCCTCTTCTGGCCTGAGGTCAGAAGGCAATTAGGATTCCCTGCAGAAGAGGTGCAGGACTCATCTTGGCAGCCTTCTTGGGCACTCTCCGCTCACTGTTCTGGCCCCAGTGAAGGATACTGCTCACAGACAGCTCTTACAGTGCAGCACAAACCTCCTAGCTTGCCATGGAAGCACTTTGAGCCTCCCAAGATACGGGGTATGAGAGGTAAACCTCGGATTCTCTAATACATTTCCCCAAGTCAAGCATTACTGTCGTTCTGATTCCACATGTGCTTTTCTGTTTTATACAACTAAAGGTTCCACAGTTACTCTAAAACTAAAACAGCCGAGGAGGGGTATAATTCCTCCTCACACTAAAAACGAAATCAATATGAACTATGGAAACCCTGTTCATAACCATGGGTCTTACCTTTGTGACATCTGCTTTACCTTCATCTTCAGAACGCGTAAAAGGACACAAAAAGTTAGAAGCTAGTTAGAATCAACTGGTGTATGTCGGATTTTAAGGAAAGCAAACAGCAGAAACTCAGGGTGCTCATTAAAATAGAGCCTATGGCTTTAAATGTTATTGCGACCTGACTCTCTAAAGTAGCCTTTGTTTCACAGTACTTCTAGAGGTACATCACGATAAAAGAGAACATCATCGTGCATTGACACTGCCTCATGCAGAGAGCAGAGCGGATCAATATCTAACGCTGTTCAGTGAGTGGGCTCTCCAGAAGGCTATTGCAAAGTGGACTGCCTGCAGATGGTGCTGGGCACATCCACCGTTCCTTTGTCTGCCCAGAACATATCTATGTCTATGGAGATACAGTAGCTCTCCAGCCCAGCTATTCACATGGGGTACACCTACCAGATTGAAGGTCAATATTTAATCATTTCAACAAAACACAATAGTATCAGCATTTAGACCATGCAACTACTATATCCTCTATGCAGAGATAAGAAGAAGTTTTTAAATCAGAAAATAACAAATTACATACATGAGCCCTCTTATAGACACTGCTTTGTGGATAATTACCCCTGCAAGCAAAACAGAATAGAACAATTATTTCATAGTAAGCATGTAATTATAACATGCCTCATTCTGCTATCACCTAAAAAAAGAATCTTGTGACCACAATGAGCCAGACCTTGCAGCAGAGAAGTCATCTTGAATTCAGCATAGGTATACCTACATAGATCACCAAGACCAAATGCTGTAACAGATATGAACCCCAACAAAAAACACTTCTTCCAGAATGAGGTGCATCCTCTCTTATGGTTTTCCAAATGGGATTCACCCCATGTAAACAGTGCAGTGTGTTACTGTATTGTAATTTGTAAAGCAAGCAGTAACTGTGGAAGTCAGAGGAGAAGGTAAGAAGTCGAAATATGCATAAAATGATAAAACTCCATGTCTGTACAAGTGATACTTCAACGAATTGCTAAATATCTCTCTCAGCTGCTCACAGTTTGGATATGAATGCAACTGGATTGGGCTAAAAGGTATGAAATAGGGGAGTCTTGTGCAACAAACCATTGTTTCTGAGTAGGGCTTTGGAACTATAATATCCTTTCATGAGACACTGCCACACAAAAGCCAGTGTGTACCCACTTACACAAATCAGACAGCCCTCAGGGGTCTGTGACCCTCACTCTGTGGGTGGATGTGACCCCTAAACTCCTTCGCTCTCACATGCCATCGCTGAAACAGGACTTCAGCAGTACTAGTGTGAATGAACCCTGCAGGTACCAGCACTCTGCCCTACTCTCCATCTCCTGCAAGTACCCATTTCTATACTTTTTGAATTACCAGAATGGCATGCCAGATACATCAGCCCACCTGACTCATTGCTCACACACTGCAGAGGTAGCAAAGGTTTCATCTTCGTCATGAACCGATATATATGGCCAAAGATGAGGTCTCAGTTTGCCAGTGGCTACTTGCCTTGCATTAGTCAGGATATATATTTTCAGGTGAATAAGCCCAGTAAACAAAATGTGGGTGTTCCACATGATCACAGTTGTACGCATTTGGGAGTTTGGTTTACACCCTTGTCATGGGACTGGTCAGTTGTGAAATGGGTATGTGGAACCTGGCTGCAATTTTGCTCAAAGGACAGAGGGTCAAGGTGACACCACTACACAACCAGAGGCTTACCTGACTTTAAAGTTTGTCACATCAAATTCTTCTCCAGTAAATATGATACTAAACTGGAAAGAAAACATTAATGTGATTTATCGATACTTTATCTAGACCTGCTTGTAAATTTAGAATTGTCATCAAAATTCTAAATCCCAATGAAAATGGCTAAAAATTTTTGCAAAATGTCAACACTTTCCCCTTCCTTCAGATTTTAATTTTATCCTGTTAAAAATGCGTTGGATAAGATGATTCTGAAATGCCACAATATTGCTACATGGATACGCATTTCTGTGTTGTCCTATCAGTTTGCATTCTGTACCAGCTGTCCTCATCATCTGATACTTGCTAGAAATACATGAGAATGAGAAAAGAAAGCTACTCACCCAGTTTTCAAGAAGCTTCCTTGCATCATAGTAATCGGGAGCTCTCTCAGTTTTGTAGAAAAGCGAAAAGTTCATGTCAACGTTAAAGAAGCTGACTGTAAGAAGAGAACGTCAGTGAGATGCATCCTGTAGTTTGCACAGAAGATGCCTGCACCCCTTCCTATCTCCTTACCCCTCCGTTGAACCATGGTTGTGTTTCATAGAATCATAGGATGGTTTCGTTGGAAGGGACCTTAAAGACCGTCTTGTTCCAACCCCCCTGCCCTGGGCAGGGACACCTTCCACCAGACCAGGTTGCTCAAAGCCCCATCCAACCTGGCCTTGAACACTTCCAGGGATGGGGCATCCACAGCTTCTCTGGGCTGTTCCAGTGCCTCACCACTTGCACAGTGAAGAATTTCTTCCTGATGTCTAATCTAAATCTTCCCTCTTCCAGTTTAAAGTTTCCCATTCCCATGGTCACCGAGGCCCTTTGGTAAATCCCAGACTCGTGTCCAAGTCTAGATTACTGCTGCATTGCTAGAAATTTTATCAAAGAGCCTAAGGGCCCAAACATGTGGTCAAGTTATCACAGCTTAACAAACAAGTTGTGGGTCATACTTGTGGGTGCACTAACTCGGCTTTTACCGCCTGCTAAGGATGCAAAGGAAGAGATAGGAGCATCTGCTGACATACACCACCTTGCTAAGCAGCAATAGCTTAAACATGTGACTGAGTCTCAAATTGTCACATCTATGGTGTCAGTCAGTGTCAGTGATGATCATGTCAGCATTTAAAACGGCCTCGTTTAGCACTTACGTGGAATGGTAACATTGGTACTACTAGTCGGAGGTAACGGGGGTAGCGTAGGAGCCCTTGTTGACGATGCTTCACTTGAGCCTGCTGAAAAGGACATTAAAAGACCTAAGAATCCACAGTGGCAAAAGTGTAAGGAGGAGCGTAGCCCAGGTGAGAGAGAGGTATGAGTCCTTCAGCCAAGGTCATCGTAACAAAGAGCTGCTGTTGTTCCACAGACCTCTGCAGGGTGATGGCAAAGGGGGAAAATACACCTGTGCGTGAGGTTTTTTTTAATTTCTCCGGAGGTAACTACAACATAACAAAGGAGAAAACAGGATTTGCAGAGTTTAGATCACAAAGAAGACCAGAGTTTATGCACCGTTATCTTTTTTCGTTGCTTGTGTTGAAGAGCATTTCCCTTCTTGCTCATGTAACCTGTGCCAGCCTTCGGGAAAAGGCATTTGTCAAACACTGAATGCTAACAAGTTAACATGCAGTAATGCATGTGAGATGAACATTGATATTCATGGCCTCTGGTTTAATGATAACCTGGCATAAGGATTCCCATTATAAATGCTGGCCATCCTGCCTGTTGTTTTCAAAGTAAAGAATTCCAAGAAATTGTTCGTAGCTAATTTTCCTTGAAGTGAATCACCTTGTCAAACCAGATACGATTTTTGCATTTCACATGCAATCTGCCACATCGCCAGGCAGACAGGGACAAAACGGATGATGTTTGTGACATGTACTACAAAAAATTGCAGTGAACCGAATCACCATATAATATTAAAGGCCTCGGTGTTGAAAGAAAAGCAGGATCACAACATTTTGCTCTAGATGTACCATTTCCTTGCTATGCTGGTAATTTGTGTTTTTTTCTTCACTCACATGACTGTCAGAGACTTGACATTCTAGCTCTGACTAAGAGAAATAAACTTAACATATGAATACAAAGTCAAATGTCTATGAATAAGGAGTGTACTCAGAAATAAGTAGGATAAGGCCATGCTTCATAAAACATCGTTTTCTCTACTGTAGTTCAAGGTAATGAGAATCACCCATGCTTAAAATATAATAGCCCATCTCTGACCCATTCAAATCAATGGCAATACATCCATGGACAATAAGAGAAACAGGGGCTGTTAACAACTTGAACCCTTTATTTTTATCCTAAATAGCTTCAAATTATTTTGTGAAGTTAAAAGGACAGCAAAAGTCAAAAGCCCCTTCTGAACATGCATGCTACAGTATACAAGCTTCTGCTTCCTAGACAGACAGACAATTTTACCCTTTGCATTAAGCCACAGGCTGTGCACTCAGCCATCCTGGTTTTGGCTGGGGTAGAGTTAATTTTCTTCACAGTAGCTGGTATGGGGCTATGTTTTGGATTTGTGCTGCAAACAGTGCTGATAATACAGGGATGTTTTCGTTACTGCTGAGCAGGGCTTACACAGAGTCAAGGCCTTTTCTGTTCCTCACCCCACCCCACCAGCAAGGAGGCTGGGGGTGCACAAGGACTTGGGAGGGGACACAGCCAGGACAGCTGCCCCCAACTGACCCAAGGGATATCCCATACCATATGATGCCATGCTCAGCGTATAAAGCTGGGGGAAGAAGGAGGACATTGGGAGTGATGGTGTTTGTCTTCCCAAGTGACGGTTACATTTGATGGAGCCCTGCTTTCCTGGAGATGGCTGAACACCTGCCTGCCCATGGGAAGCAGGGAATGAATTCCTTGTTCTGCTTTGCTTGCGCACATGGCTTTTGCTTTTGCTATTGAACTGTCTTTATCTCAACCCATGAGATTTCTCACTTTTACTCTTCTGATTCTCTCCCCCATCTCACCAGGGGGGTGTGAGCGAGCGGCTGTGTGGGGCTGAGTTGCCGGCTGGGGTTAAACCACAACAATCCTTTTTGGCACCCAATGTGAGACTCAAAAGGTTCAAGATAATGACTGGTTTGATTGGAATGTGCTACATCAAATTTATAGCTGTTATTGCTGTTTACCTATTAACTGACAGGCTCCTGTTCTTGCCATGGAGCTTGTTTGCCTTACTGTACTGTAAAGTAGAGTCTGGTGCTCGTTAGTGGCTGCTTTTTGCTTTCGCTGCTTGCTGTACTGTTGATCATCTTACTCTGCTGTGCCTGCGAACATTTTGATAACAGCAACGGCGATGTGCCTGGGCTGGCAGATGGCCAGGGCATCGCTGCTGTTTCTGTGCTGCTGTACTGGAGAGACTGGAACTCCAGTGTGAACTCCAGTCAAAGGGACTGTGACCTGTGGATGAGTCCATGCAGGAACAGGACACCCTGAAGCATCTGTGGCCCTGGATGAGTCCATGCCAGAGCAGGTACATCTCGAAGTGTCTGTGGCTGTGGTTATGTCTGTGCCACAGCAGGTATACCTCTGAAGGGATTGTGGCCCAAGGGTAAGTCCATGCTGGAGAAAGTACACCTTGAAGCATCTATGGCTGTGAATAAGTCCATGCTGCAGCAGGTACACCTTGAAGCATCAATGGCTGTGCATGAGGTCTTGCTGGAGCACCTCAAAGTGTGTGGCCATGGATAAGCCCACGACAGGGCGGGTAAACC